TGAGAAGCGCGCATTTAATTTAATTATATAAATAGGTCACTTGTAGATTAGAATTCAGTCTTAATTGAACAACTACCATATTAAGGGCGGTAGCATGAAGCTAATCTGGTAACATTCCCCGGTCGAAAGAACACCCCTACGCGAAAGATTAATTGCTCTCCCAAACCGACTGTAACAATAGTAATAGTGCCACAGAGGTAAAAAAAATTTTTTTTTAAATATTCAGTGTTGCAGAGCACTGCTAACTTGCAAATTGGCTTTTTCAGACACTATGCACAAAGCACAAATTACTTCCTGAAGTTGAAGATGGTGGCACAGTTCCAGTCTTGGTGTATGGAGTTGTGACCAGTGCACTTCAATGGGTTTTTCTTTGTTGGGGTGGCTCCTCAAATAAACCTACAATTGAGGTGTCCCATATACACTCCTGCCAATGAACAAGTGGAAGGACAAGTACAGCAAATCATTGGTTATCTCATTTCTATCCTCCAATCTCAAGTTCATGGCCTCACAAAGCCAGATGAGCATTGAGGCATTGCAGTTGACTATATGGGGACTGGACTATCAAAATGATGGTAATAGGTAAATGGTCTGGTTGCACAAAATAAGATTTTTGCATAGGCATCTTCTCAGCAGCCTTCTCTACATATCTTGGTAATTTTTATTTCACTACAGCAAGTTTAAAATAGGGGTCACTCCATGTAGACTTCCTCTGGCACACAAAATATTATCAAAAAACTCTTCATGGTGGGAATCACTTCTTCACGACATGAGATTCGTTGTCATTTTGCATGCCTGGTAATTCTATGTTGTGTGAAGAATTGAAAAAGATTAAAAAAGACGATTTATGGTTGTCGGTTAAAAAAAATGGGTTGTAACAAGTCTCGTACTAACTTTATTGCAAGCTATCTATTTTACCAACAGATGTGAATTGGATACGCCAATCACCACAATGCCATGCAATCACCAACAAAGTACCAATACTCCACATACGGCTCTTTTTTCCAACTATTTGACTCTGCGTTGGCATACAATTTCATCCCCTTCTATCTCAATCCATAATTCTCGATCTTCTCCTTGGTCATCCACATGCTACCGTTGGGTCTACTAACAAAATTCTCAGGCCGTCTTCTTTCGTACTTGAACGTCTCTTCAAAGAATGCTGGTGGCACTGAGATTAGGAAATCAGGCTCTGCCATTGCATTGGTATGACTTTCAACAAGTGTTGATCAATGCGATTGATATCAGTGTACATGTGGTAACATGTGGTCAAATAATAAGAGGCTAGAATCTATTTGTTCCACAACATCCATGCAACCAATTAATGATACAATGCATGGCGTTAGTTGTTCATGAAGCTATTGCAGTAGTTTTATCATTTTTTATTTTTGTTGTTTGGTTCATCTGATGGACAGGTATATCCTCATCTTCCTCATGATTGCTGTGTTTATTACTATCACTGTATCAAACACATGCGTCATTCCCAGCATACTAAATTAAGTCTTACTCTTCTTCCATAATCACCAGGTAAAGCTGGTTGCATAAGACATCAACATATGACATTACTCTCTGATCGCATCATGTCCTGTAGAGAGTGCATGGTATAAGGTTTTCAAGGTGAGAATAAAGATATCAAGATAGAAACCATCTGCATTTTAGACAATAGCATAACCTGATAATATTTTTAAAAATAGAACTTGTGCTGCTCACTCTCGTCGAACTATCTTACAATGTGACAGTCCCAAAATAAACTTAGCATTAACTCGCCCAGACTCTTTTATCTTTACTGATATAGCATATGGACAAAGAGTGATGTACAAAATGTTGACGACAAACGTGCTATTTATGTGCTATTTATAGATTCTGAAGGTCTAGTCGTGAAAGGAATGGCAGATCTAAAGTGATGCAGGAATTTGTAGAATACTGTGAGTGATATAACTGATAATTTTTTGCAAAGATAACATTTTGCAAGTTGCTGATGTCATTGTCTATGCTAATCTATTATGAGAGATGTTTGCTATTACATTGTCAGTAGGAAATATATTAATCGTGTGGAGTTCGCCCAGTAACATGCATGTTTCAATATAATAAAATTAATGATTATGCAGGTTAGGTCTATTTAATATCAGCCGGGCAACTTAAACTTATTAAGGTTATGTTAATATTACCACTGTTTATGTTATGATAGCGATAAATTGAGATAAAGTATGCACAGTGATAGTCTATTATTATTATTGGTTGAAATGAACTAACAGTAATTTTGTCTTCAAGTCCTAAAATGAGATTATCAACCAAATAATATTAAGCTTAAAAACCTTTTCATTATCGTTATATGAACTTGTTCTTACATAAAGTCAAATGCGGATAACACTTTTTCAATAATAATTAAATATTGAAATTATGAAATGTTAATTTCAGCTGGATTTACTCAATAACTAATCATATGCAACCATATTTTTCCAGTTATCAATCTAAAATCTTAATCAAAATAGTCATGATTGAAGGCACTTTGTAGTTGAGCTACTACTTACAGTCCCCCCAAAAAGTAATGGCAGGGTGTTTTTTTATTATAAACATTTTTCTTACATAATAATATCTTTACAAATTTTTATGTTTATAGCGCATTTAGGT